TAATTAAAATTTCACGTTTTTGTCTATGGGCAAACGATAAACGAGCAGCTGGATCCGGATCGGATCTGGGGCGCCACCCAATACCCAGAGATGTATTGCCAGACTTTTAAGAGTAGAGAGAGTACAGTTCAGGTTTTTTTGTGAGAAAATCATCAAATGACTCTCTCGCTTGCCAGTCTCCAGTATTGTCGCCGGTTTTCTACGCCGGTTTTCTATAAATCCGTGCTATCCGGTCGAGACGACCTATTCGTGCCGAAAACTGATCTAAATTTAAAACAATTACCGGTCCACATCATGAATACTACATCTTGTACTTTGAAATAAAATTACGTAACTAAGCTTTATTTAACCAGCATTTGTCAAAGACGCGTCATTATTAAACATTGTCATCCGAATTCGGTAGTTTCCAACTCGTAAAATTAAATACTTTTATCCAAATGTCAAAAATTATTCTTTTCCATGAAATTTGTATAAAACTCAAAATTATGACGTCATAGTATTTTTGTGTCAAATGACTTACCATTTTTTTAATTTACAAAAAAATATCGAAAATCTGGTGAATCGAGAGATCGATGAATAAAAGTATAGTTATTTTTCAATGTTCTATTATATAGAAACGTCGAATTAATTTATTTTTCACCTAATAAACTGAACTAGTAACTAGTCAAACTAATTTTAAACAACATCGATTAGGTGCATAACTTATTTAACTATGTATATATGCTTTGAATATAAAAATGTCTTTGTTTTTAACAATAATAATTCTTGACTTCTAATATGTATTCTGTTGTTTTCGACGAAATTACAAGTTGTTATCTTTATTCGTTCTCGGAACTTAAGTATATGATGATGATATGATGATGTATGACATATTTTTAAAAACATTGTTGCTCAATTTAGTTTCCTAGCGACCCGCCCCGGTTCGTACGGGTGCAGTGCCGACACTAAATTTCTCCACTATTTAATGGATGTTATTATACATATAAACCTTCCTCTTCAATCACATTATCTATTAAAACAACCGCATCAAAATCCGTCACGTAGTTTTAAAGATTTAAGCATACATATATTATGGTTACAGGAACAGAAATCCTTATCAAAATCCGTTGCATAGTTTTAAAGATTTAAGCAAACCTACATAAGGTTACCTAGAGGAACAAAGAAAGCGACTTTGTTTTCTAATATGTAGTGAAGTGACATAGCAAATACTTAGTAGTACCAAGGTAAATATTTTGGTGTCAGTACAAAGAGTGTTTCAATAAACATGTTGAGATATCCATAATTACAGCTTGGCAAAAAAGAGTGTGGAATAAATGAGGTCACCAGTGTCGCAACTGTGGCAACCCGGAATACTACGACTCGACAGTTTTTGATACTTGTTATTTTTGAGAACATGATTACAATCCTAAGTGAGGAGTGCAGTCCTTTGAACGCTTTATTGTCCAGTATTAACAATGTTAATAGAGGACGCTTAAGCATTGCACGAAATCGGTGTAGACTTACTAGACCGCGCCACCACTCACATAAAGATAATAATGCCTCAAAGGCAATCTAGCAGTGAGATTGTTGTTGTGCCTCTAGATCTGGTGAATGTGTTGTTCGTAAGAAGCGCGCGCGACGCGGACGCAGAAATTTGGAAAAAAGAGCTATGTACGAAATGCACATGCGCCGTTCGCAAACGGCGCATTCGCCAGATCTGGACGCAACATTAGTAATTGACAAATAGTATGGTTACAAGGATAATGAGACAACACGTTTTGTTTGAACTTTCATTTTAATAAAAAACAAAAACAATTCAATCAGATGAATCGAATACACTTTCGTCTAAATATTCGATACCAGAAAAGCTCACATTTTGGCTAGAGCTTCCTGCACATTCAGAATCAGTAGAATATTCTAATTCTGATAAATCACTGCTACTGTCATCTCTTAGATTTATTACCAGCCGTTCCATCTGTTCATACATTATCGCACCTCTGTCATAATATTCTTTCTCTATTTTCATTACATGTTTGCATGAATTCTTCCAGTCTTCAGCAGTAATGTTAGAAAAGGCCTGTTCAGCAGCCACCTATAAAAATAAAATAATCATTAAAACCATTCCTATGTCACAATATTAAATAATTAAGCATGTATAAACTAGGCTACATACCTTTATATCAATGGACCCAACATTGACTGAAGCAATTTTATGCTTTGCAATTCCCCATATCAATTCAATGGGATTCAAGTCACAGTGATAAGGTGGAAGGCGTACCACAGTATGACCATTATCTCCTAAAATATGGTCAATTTCGTAAATGGGGTCTGGTTTATGCCGCTTAACTAACATTAATAATTGAGGTTTACGGAGAGACTCATCAAAAGGTATGTTGTTTTGCAGTAACCATATCTTTATCTCAGCAACCTTTGAAGCACTAGTTGGTGCCTTATTCAAGACAACCGAATGATAAGGAGCATTATCCATTACAATAATAGACGGTTCGCTTAGGTTAGGGATTAATTTTTCAGTAACCCATTTTGTGAAGTTGGTTTTATTCATTTCTGAGTGATAGTCTTCATTTTTGTTTGTGCCACTAAAAATCAAAAGGGCATTTGGAACAAATCCTTTCTCACTCCCCGCATGTACAATTATATATCTCTTGCCTTTTGAAATGTTGTGTTTCACTCCGCTGACATCAACAGACTGCCAACATTTTTTCAGCTTATATGAAGAATGAATATAACTTTCATCCAAATATATTATTTGTTTTTGTAGTTCTTGAGGCAGGTTTCTGTTGTCCATAATGATTTTTAAATATTGCTCCCGCTTTGCTGCTATGTGAGGTTTCTCAATTAGAGCTGATCGGTCCGTTTTACACTTCTTATATGAAAAACCCAGAGAATGTAATATCTTTCTGAGATGTTCACGGCTTCCATCATAACCTAAGTCCTCTCTAACTACCGGCAGTAAATTTCTCAATGTAGGCACCTGAAACATGATATTCTGATATAAATCAGCTTTTTTTAATTAATGAAATCTGGAGTCGTCTGTGTATAAACCGTAAGTACCTGCTTTTTCACAGTGTAAAAGAAATGAACCTTTTGTCTAATTGCACACAAATCGAAATTATCCAAATCTTTCCTCGGGCGACCTTTGCGATGTTTTCCCGGTGTTGAAAAAATACCATTATTTTTTTCACCTTCCTCAACAATTTTTCTTATTGTGTTGACAGATTTACCTAAAATAAGAACAGTATTTTATTATTAGAACAATGTTCATTAAACCATTAAACTACAAGTTTCTTGTCTTGGAGGTTGGCGTATACGAAACTTGTCAAACTACAAAACATAACCTAAATTATCAATTTATATAAACAAGAATAAAAGTAACATAAATCTGGGTATTTACAAAACAACGCACCGAAAACATATTAAGGACCATATTAAAGGTATAATGTCTAGTTTAAGGTGCATAAATACCTGTCATATCAGCAGTTCTTTGATAAACACTTTCTATAGCGGACAAAACTTGTCCCGCTTGAGATTCGGCCAAACACCGCAAATAAACGTGGTAAATCACTGCTCTGCCACTACTACGAATAGTTTTATTCATTTTAAATTGTTAATTTTGCAGCTAAAGTTGATATATTTTTTAAATCTTTGAAAAACACTTAGAAATGACGCACTGTTGACAAAGAATGTACTAGCAGTTGACAAGTGAAGCAATGTTGCCTCAAAAATTGCTTTTTAATTCCAACTGTCACCGCGTCAGACTCTTTTTTGCCAAGCTGTATGTATTGTCAGTTTCAATAAGCCTGCCTTGCAACATGTCGCGGGTCCGATTCCCGCACGGAATAACTCTTTGTGTGATCCAAAAATTGTTATTCCGAGGCGCTAGGTATTGTGTGTATGTGCAATGATGAAAATTTTGTAAACTCTTTTGTAAACACACCGTGACACAGAATAAAATTATACTATAGATATTCCTATTATTTTAATAAAAATACAATTGTTAAATTTTAATAGAAAATTACATGATTAATGTCGTGTCTGTTCGTATTTTTCGATTTTTTATGCTGTACGGTTGCCACTTTAACTGAATGCCCATTAGCTGTTTCCACGCCGGGAAAATATTAATCATGAATTTTCAAATTTAAAATAATCATTCTTATCCCGCAGTCAGGAAGTTTGGCAGGGTTAACCTAAATTGCCATGGAAGCACAGTGGGTTCTGAGCCTTATTGTAAGGGGAAAATTATCAAATGACTTCCCTCGCCCAGGGTGACGCGAGAGGGAGTGTCAGAATCAGACTCTTACTGACTAAAAACCCCCGTTCTTCTCCTGCTCTAGGACGAGGCCCCGGTGCCTCAATGCGCGTACCCCGCAACCTTGGCTGAACATCAGCACTATAGGGCCCCGTCTGTGGTGGCCTATAGCCTCTTCGAAGGCGCGCGAAATCACCAGACGAGTTGTAAGTGTGTTGCAGGTCAAAAGGCTATTATAGGTTTTGTTGATTTAGGGATTGGGGGGGTATGGGATGAGGGAAAGGATTGGGCCTTTATTACCCTCATTCACACGGCAAAACACAGCGCTGTGGTTGTTTCACGCCGGTTTTCTGTGGGGTCATGGTATCAGTCCGATCGAGTCAGCCCAATCGTGTCGAAGCGTAGGCAAAATTAAAGACACAAATCAAGGAGTTGTACTAAATCAAATTGATGTTAACTGGGTGCCGATGTTGGTAATACGGAGCCAATTTCGTAGATAAAAATCCTAAAGATTTTTTTAGTAACAAAGAAATGTTACTATCATTATAAATGCGCAAGTTACGATGTTTGGATGTTTGTTACTCAATCATGCCAAAACGGATGGATGGATCTGGATGAAATTTGGCACAGGCATAGGATACATTCTGGAAAACGTAGCCTATGCCCTACATAGTCTCCTTTTTATCAACATACCACGCGGGCGAAGCCTCAGGCGGAAGCTAGTATTTGGTATATCTATGGCTACAGTACTTACCAGTCATTCTTCCATCATTATGATCTTGGGTCAACTGCAAAGGAGTTTGTGCCACCTCCATCTTGAATTCTATTTTGAAATTCACTTTTATAAACTGAATTTACTCCTAATTATACAATTGTATGGTTCATAGTCTTTTCTGCTTAGATTTTAGACCTGAATTATGAAATTACCTAAATAAGTATTTGTTTTACAAATTGCATAAAGGACAAAATTGTGTACTATGAGTTGTGTTCAATTTTTTTGTGGTATAAAGCACAACTGCATGGTTGGTGTGGTGGCTGGGCGATTGGCTGTTGTTCAACGTGTCGCTGGTTCGATTCCCGCACGGAACAACTCTTTGTGTGATCCAAAAATTGTTGCCCTGGGTCTGGGTGTCATGTGTATGTGAAATTGTATGTTTGTAACCGCACCCACGATACACGAGAAAATCATAGTGTGAAGCAACGTTATTTAAATAAAAGAAAGAAAGAAATAAAAGGTTTCGCATTGCCTGATGGTAAGCAATCGGCGCCTCCCAAAGACATTCAGAATACCAGAGGAATTACAAGTACGTTACCATCCTTTTGGAGGCTATTAGAGATTTGAGGATTGGTAAAAGGGGTTAGCAAAAGACTGGGCCTAGTCCAAACCTCACTTAGATAACGGCTGATTGGGATGATGCAACGTTATTTCACGCTGAATTTTTGTATCGCCGTGGTATTACTTCTGGCGAGCCGACCCATTCGTGACGAAGCATGCCTCTTCCACAATTAAATCTTTATACCAATAAAGATAACATTATTTAGATACCATTAACATAAGATGAAGGAAAGCAACGTTAATCAGTAATATTACGTTAAACGCAGACGAACCCGCTGGAAAAAATCTAGTGTATCTTAAAGTCAATTCTATCAAAGATTATCCATATTTACAGACAACCATTTTGGATTACAAAATTAATCTTTTTAATTTATTCATTCGATATTTGAACAGTTGGTTTTAAAGTGTGAGGGAGTAATGCTTCGGCACGAATAGGCTGACTCGATCGGATTGATATCCAAGCTCACAGAAAAACTGCGTAAAATAATGCTTGAATTTGAATTTTCTCATGTGTTTGAGGTTACTGTGGACCCAATATTCCTACATTCCCCGTCCCTCAAAAGACTGGCAACGAACTCATAATTTCTGTGGTTTTGTGCGTATACATGAGTGGCCGATAGCTAACATACAGTTCATTTGCGATATCACAAAACAAAGCATATTATCAATTCGAAATATCCTTCTACTTAAGTATTGTATCAATATATACAAAACTTAACGCAAGACAGCCGGGGTTGTGGGGCTAACGCAATAAGGTACCGCGGCCTCGGCTTAGAGCAGGAGAAGAAACGGAGGTTTTTAGTTAGTAAGAGTCTGACACTCCCTCTTGCCTAACCGTGGGCGAGAGGAGTCATTTGATGATTTAAGTCACACAAAAAAGCGCTGCCCATAGATAACTGCAACACCTTAACAGTTACAAGTGTGATTGAAAATAAAAGGCATAAAACATTTTTTTTTTAAAAATACCTAGCCTTATACCTTTTAATAAATTAAAACCTTTGTGGTTGAATCTAAATTCCAATTTTGAAAACGAGATACAAACTTTATACTTATTCTTCTATTTAATAGCACAATGGATATTTTTAATTTTTAAATTTATATTTTTAAACAATAAGTCGACAAACAGGTTGGGGGACGGGTCCCCCATATGATAAGCAAGAGCAACTGGCGTCGCCTAGGGACACCAGCAACATCGAAGATGATATCAATGTGTGGCCTTTTGTGGCTACGAATAAGTATAACAAATATGAAGTATTGGCAATAAATTTAGTAATTACAGGTAATCGTACGTAAAGCTGCATTTTTAAATATAAATAGGAATCTAAATTCTATAATATTAGAATTAGATAATCTAAAATATTTGATGAAAATAATTTTTAAGAATAGATATTATGATATTGGCATGTCCTTAGCTGCAGTACCGTAGTAGAAATAATCTTTTCCAAGTCTAGAATAGTCTTTTGATTGATAAGAGTAGAATTTGATCACATAACAAATAATTTGTCATTCATTTATTAAAAGTGTTTACATATATTATTTTAAATCAGTAGGTACCTAATTATGTCCTTTCGCAATTTGATTTTTTACGTAAAAAGGTAAAAAAAAAACAAGAAAATTTATTGAAAAAAAAAAATGCAAACCGTTCACACTAAACAACAAAACCAACGGATTTCCCTCCAAATTTTGACAGTACAACACGTGACGTTTCACTTTTGACGTTTATATTTTTTTAAGCACGGACGGGCAAAGAGCCGCGCGCGTTATGCCACGGCCGGAGAACTTTTGACGCGATATTGCCTGTGAGCTTGAAGGCGTGGCGTGGCTCCGCCCCGTTGCTTTTCGCGTCTGACTCTGTCCCCCAGACGGGGGGACACTTCGATTTTGGGTCAGCTGTTAACCGTCCGTTTTAAGCTTTAATTTGTGGCATTACGCCGCTGTTGCGTCGGCCCTGTCGTTTAGAATAATGCCGTCGTACATTTTAACGTGGATTGAACGTTCCGTTTTCCAATTACAACGCAAAATGGTTGTTCGAATTTATATGGAAACAATTAGATGTGGGTTTGTGTATTGAGAATTTTATTCCTTTATTTTTCTAAGAATTTTATTCGTTCCAACGACTAGATTCCAATCCTGTCTTTATATCTAAGACTTCCTACTCACTGAAGCTTTGTTCTTCCAGTAACAAATTGTTACGCTTATTATTTATAGGATAGAGACCTTACTTTATTTTCTATGACCTATTTCACATCCAGACAGTTTATTGATACAGCTAACTAAAGAAAATACTTTGTCAATGTATTTTTTCAATACGTGGCCTTTCTTTTGATCCTCAATCGATCAATCTAGCCGGCCCATCTATCATCAATGTCATTTAATAGACTTCATCGTCTTTATTTTGTCTTTTGGGACATATTTATATAAGTTTATTAAATTAGATACTAAATATAGATGTTTTATTAAATACTAGTTTTTCCCAGCGGCTTCACCCGTAGTAAAGTACCACCCGTAGTAAGTTGAGTAAAAAGTTGCCTATGTGTTATTATAGACCATAATCTATTCCTGGATGAAATTTCATTCAGATTACTTCAGTAGTTTTTAGGTAAAAGAGCGGCTATCAACACCTACAAATGTTAGCGTTTATTATATTAGTTAGATAGGTTATCTGATTAGAATGCTTAATTAAGAGGGATTCAAATCAAGAGGAACTTTTTATTTACGTGATTTTAGTACTAAGGTCAAATATTTTTGCAATCCTAAGTATGTGCTGTGATTTGAGTACCTATGAGTTTATTGTTACCATTTCATTATTACTATTTAAAAATCCATTTTAACATAACACCAAAAAACATTTCATAAAACAAGACTTGAAAACTAGAACTTCATTTTCCTATGCTTTTTACAATAAATATCTACCAATAACATAGGTACATAAAGTCTTAAAACAAAGAGGTTTACATACCTACATGCACAATGATATTTGATATCACCCAATAAGAGTTCCCACATTTGGCAGGGCGTGGCGTGATGCCTTTGCCCGCGGAAAACAACCGTCATAGACGAAAAGTCAACAGTTGCCGCGTTTTCATTGGACGCGCTGTGATTTGGCGCGAAACGTAACTGTCAAGATTGGATACTTTTTGATGTTCTTGTTTATTTATGGTTGTCTTTATTTATATGAAAAGGATACATATTATATTAGATACATGTTTATGCGTGTAAAGTCTTAAAATTTTAATTGTAATAAGAACATAGGTAGGTATGTACTTTAAAAAAAATACTGGTCCAAGATGGCTATCGACCAATAATAGCTCGATGACCATAACACGTCACTATAGAAATTTAGACATTAAGTTTATCTATACCTACTAATATTATAAATGCGAAATTAACTCTGTCTGTGTGTCTTTTCTTCACGCCTAAACCACTGAATCGATTTCTGTGAATTTTTATCATATTCTCTCTTTTAGAATATATTAACTCGAGAAAGAGCAGTTTTACCTATAGGTATCAAAAATCTGCAGAAAATCACTATTCCACGCGAACGGAGTCGCGGGCAAAAGCTAGTTGGTTATAATACATCTCAAATTGAAAATAGTTAAGTCTTTTTAATCAACTGTTGAAAGGAAGTGAAATAAAAGATATTAGGCAAAAGCTGCAAAGAATATTTGTATGCCAGAATATTAAAAATATAGTTACTATTCATATTTTTATTATCACTAAGCTCTCTCTAAGTTTTTGTGCTTTTTAGACCACAATCAGTGGCTATGCCCAATAGCATTCGGATCCGTTTAGTAGCTTTTATGTGAAAGAGTAAATAAACATCCATATCCACTTACTAACTAGCTTAAAAACTTTTACGTTTATAAATATTATTATGATAATTGATGATATTATAGGTAAGTAGGATAATGTTTTTATTTATCGGTAGCAAGAGAGATCATTCCTATTCAAAAATATCAAAGAACCCGAACATGTCTCTCAAACTATACAAAACTGACATAGACAAAATAAAATAAATTCCACATTCAAATTCGTTCGCAATCCGTGCCAAAGGAACCCCGAAAACTACCCACAAGTCAATCGCCAAACTGCGAGTTTCACCCCGTCACCCCCACCCTATCGACCTCCCATATCACCCCGAATTACTACTCAACCCCCTAAAACCGCAGTCTTCGGTGACAGTTCAATAAGGCACGGCGACCAATCGCGGCAAACGTCGCCCGGTATAAGCCAATAGGATTAACGCTGTTGACATCCCTTTTTCACCTAGGAAACATTGGATAAATCTGTCCTATTCTAACGCACGGTAGACGGATTCTTGATTCGATTTCGATTGAATTCTTTATTCGAATTTTCTTTTGTTTTTCACTTCGTTGAAAAGGCATGTCTTATAATATTAACTGCCTGTTTTTTGGTTTGAATTAAATGTAAGGAGATTTGCGTTCAAATGGAGGTTTTTGGTATCGAATTTAAAAATCG